CAGGGGTGACTGTTTGGCGTGACACAGTGATCAGCATCTTCTTTTAGATGTCAGGGCCTGCCAAACCCAGTTGCTGAAAAGCAGTCGTTTACCTGCTGTAATTTCTCATAGTAACCGGCATTTTCTGTTCTTCATCTTTAGTTTTTCAATAGCAAACAGAGATAGTGACTGAGGACTTCTGACAGATGAACTGATGCAGAGAGCAAATAACATGCATATGTAGAGTCTGATACCTTGCAAATCTGAGAGATGGCTTAAACTATAGCAACATGAAATTGCATATCTTTATCTCAGCATAAGAAAAATGCCCTTGATTCTTTTAAGCTGTTCCTACCACTTTATCACCTAGACTTAGGGGAGGGGAAAATTACCTTTATCCTTTGCTTTGGAGACATCTACTGCAACACACAAATTTTAAACCCCAAAGTCAGCTCCTCTCTGGTGAAATAAAAATCACCTTGTGGTAACGACTGCCACCTTGTGGCCATATATGAAACTGCCACTAAAAATAGATGACCAATGTTAATAAAGGCTTCACCCACTGCAGTCCATAGGGTCACAAATAGTCACACACGACTGAACACGTATGATACACAATACATCAGTTGAATACTGTGGAAATCACATGAAGACACTGATATCTGGGGATATTTTACAGTTCACATTTTCCTGGAAAGTTCTGCATTGTATATTCTATATTTATGGGCCTTCCAATCTGTTTCAGATTAATTTCTCTTCTACTACAACACTAGCTAATTGTTCATAAGACCTCAGACTGCTTCTATGGAGTCATGGGGATTTCCCTGGGTAGGTAAAAGCCCCCTGGAGTTGGGCAGGAGACACTTCTTTATTTGTTCATTAGAATAACTAAGTGGCCACTGCATGACCATGTCAGTCAGCTGTCTGACTCAAAGATTATCACCAGTTAATATCGTCCAACCCAACGTCACAGCAAACTATCTGCTCTTCGGTGCAGCCCTGCGAGTAGTCCTGCCCAGCTCATGAAGTGAGGAGGAGCTGAGCTTGACGCCCAGGTGGACAACCAGCGCCACCCACCAGTCTTGCCTTCTTCACAAGGGTGTTCTCAAACCCAGAACCGTCACCCCACTTTTCTCTGAGAAAAGAGCTGGATGAGGACCAACAAAAGACTTTAGGTGGACAAAGCACAGGGTGTGGGAAATATGTTTTGAGGTTACTCTGGATAGCAATGGAGAGGATGGGCAGAACTGAGCTCTGATGGAACCATGGACCCAGAAATGGGAAGCAGAGAATCGGGGGCATGGTGGCAGGGGCAGCGTGGGCTCTGATGAAGAGGGTGTGGCCTCCAGGGGCCCAGACTATGAGAGGCAAGAGGAAGGAGTGCAAGGGAACCTGCAGCCCAAGAAGCTATTAGCTGGACCCCGAGGTGCTTGGACATCACAGGAGTGCAGGCCACACGTCCTTTTCACCTGTCCTCCTGTCTCCCCTGCTCCATCCATTCTCCATGCTGCACGGGTGACTTTGCGAACACAAGGGGCCCTTACACACACGGGATGCTCAGCCTCACTTACTGTTGGAGAAATGCCAGTTAGCATTCCAAAGTCACCTTTTAAAAAAAAAACTCTCCAGCCATTGAAATGATAGGCAGCGTCATGACAGGAGAGGAGGGGAAATGAGCCCTCTCACATGTGGTTTGGGAGTGTGAATTTAGAAATACGGCCAGCAAGCGGAAAGAGCTTGGGCTCAGCAGTCAGACTGCCTGGCTTTAAAACATCTGCCACTTGGAAGCTAAATTTCTTCCTGTCTCAGTTTGCTCATTTGTAAAATGGGAGTGATGCTAACAGAACTTACTTCACAGGATTACCATAAAGATTGATAATACACATAAGGCACTTAACACAGTGCCTGGTATATAGGTGATAAAGTCTTAGCTATTTCCAGCCATGACAGGGGAGAAGGCCCACTAGACTCCATCAGAATCATAAATCCATCCATTTCTGACCAAGCAATACCACTTCCAACAGTGTCCCATATAGAAATCATAGCACAGGTACATAAAGATAAAAGTACAAGGGACTCATTGTAAATTTGATTGAAATAAGTTAAGTATAACCTAAGTATATACCAATGGGAAATAGGTTAAATAATTTGTATTATGTTCTTAAAATGGAATACTATGCAGCCATTATAAATGAGGCAGTCAGGTATATACAAATATGAGACAATCTCAAGATACATTGTTTTTTTCAGACAAATAAGGTGAATGGGGATGCAAAGTACAATGTGGTGACTATAATTAATGATATAGTATTGAATATATGAAAGTTGTTGAAAGTATTTCTTAAATGTTCTCAACACAAGAAAAAAATTCTGTAAGTGTGCTGATAGATGCTAATTGGACTTAGGTGTGGTGCTCATTTTACTACACATGCAAATATAAAATCATTCTTTGTACACCTAAAACAATGTTAAATGTCAATTATATTTCATCTTTTTATATGCAAATTTTTAAAAAGTATAAAGTTTGCAAAATGTATTACAGAGATTTTACTCTCTTAATAAAACCATTTTGGATTTTTTCCTTAGGAAGACAGGGGTGGGGGGACTTCCCTAGTGGTCCAGTGGTTAAGAATCTGTCTTCCAATGCAGGTGACACAGGTTTGATCCCTGGTCGGGGAACTAAGGTCCCACACACTTCGGGGCAACCAAGCCTGAGCATCACAACTACTTAGCACACGTGCCTCTACTAGAGAGAACCCCCGTGTAGGAATGCAGAGTCTGCGTGGCACAGATAAGACCCAAGACAGCAAACATAAATAAATGTTTTTAAAAAGAGGGTACAAAATGGTGTGCCAATATATACCACCAATTATGTTTTTTTTTAAAAAAACTAAATACAGATGCATATATGTTGTGTGTATGTATGCTTTTGTGTACAAACAATTCTCTGAAAGGCTATACATGAAACTACTAGTTTCAGTCAAAGAAAGGAGACGAATACTTGAAGAAGGCTTATCTTACCCACTGCACACAAAAAATTTGCTTTTTTATAGTATAAAATTGCAATCTGGTATGTCATTCTTCTGCTTAAATGTCTTTCATTCATTCTTAGGGCTAAAATACAAGCTCTTTTAACAGAGCCTTCAAGGTTCTCACAGCCTGGTCCTGGTCTGGCCCACTTCTGCAGTCGCAGTTCTCACTAGGCCCCTTCTCAACCTCACATTTTATGCTTGTGGGCTTTATGCACCCTTCTTGTTCCTGTTTACTGGTGGTGGTTTAGTCGCTAAGCTGTGTCCGACTCTTGCGACCACATGGACTGTAGCCCTCCAGGCTCCTCTGTCCACGAGATTTTCCAGGAAAGAATTCTGGAGTGGGTTGCCATTTTCTTCTCTAGGGGATCTTCCTGACCCAGGGACTGAACCTGCATCTCCTGTTTAGGAGGCGGTTTACTGACTGAGCTACCACGGAAGACCTGTTTACTGGTAGACCCACCCAAAGCTATTCACCCTGTACAACATACTCCCTTTCACTCTCTCTGCCTGATTAATTCTAACCGGTCCTTCTGGTTCCAGTGTAGCTGTCACTTTCCCTAGAAATGCCTTGCAGCATCCCTAGACCAGGTGTGATGCCCCCATCCCACTCCTACCAAGGCCTTTACATCCCTGATGGTGGCAGAGACAAGGGGCGTGTCCTGAATTCTCTTTCAGGATGCCTTTGACAAGCAAGAAGACGGAAATAACTGCCAGACCCTCCCGCTGCCTTCATAGGAGCCCTCTCCCCCTCCTTTGGCAGCAGAAGCCCAGCCCGGAGCCCAGTCTAAGTGGGCTGCAGAGTGCCCCGCCTCAGGGACGAGTCAAGGTGGATGGGAGCCCACTGTGACCAAGCAGCTTATCTCGGCTAGATATTCGCTCTTCCAGCCTCCTCTGCAACTCAGGATGAGCCTACAACTCAAGCCTAGGAAAGCTTTTTCTACCCCTGATAAGAGGAAAGTGCATGAAGCCCTTCTGCCTCTCTGCCCTGTGCTTCCTGCTTGAGATGCTGTCATGTGACGTGTGATGGTTAGGGCTGTGATATTAGGGTGAGTACCTTGAGACCTCAAGGGGAAGAGATGCCTAGTGACACTAAGCATCTCATACAATCCTAACAGTGCTAGCATCAGACTGCTCAAGAAAAAAGTCTCTACTATGAACTAAACTCATCCTCTCTGTTTATTGTGTAAACCACTATCAGTCATATATTCTGTTAACTGCAGCCAAAAGCATTCCTCCTAATTGCACTCCATGATGAAAGTGAAGTCGCTCAGTCGTGTCCGACTCTTTGCGACCCCATGGACTGTAGCCTACCAGTCTCCTCCGTCCATGGGATTTTCCAGGCAAGAGTACTGGAGTGGATTGCCATTTCTTTCTCCAGGGGATCTTCCTGACCCAGGGATTGAACCCAGGTCTCCCGCATTGCAGGCAGATGTTTTACCCTCTGAGCCACCAGGAAGTTCCCACCCCATGATGGGGTATACAGAATCCCAGGATCAGTCCACAGAATCAAGCAAAGGGTCCTTGATTGAGGCCAGGAGCAAGGCCTTGGGACATTACAAATCAAGATGCCCTCTTTGGGCCTATCCTGGTCTGAACTCTTTTTCCCCAGGTCAGAAACAGTTTAGCATTTAGCAATGAAGCCAAGGTCACAGTCACCAGGATAAGCAGTCCATGACGTTTACTGTCTTCTTGGACTTCTGTAACCTTCACTCTGCTAGAGAAGACTTATGTACAAAGGCATTTTCAATCTTAGGACACACAACCCTCAAAGTGATCCTTCTCCAGGACAGCATGAAAGGAAGCAATTAGTTCATTGGTTCTGGGTCATCAGAAGTCACTGGGTACTTCAAATGACCCTATCTTGGGAGTCTCCAATCCCCAAAGTTTCTGATCACTTTATGAAACCTTCACTTTATGAAATTCAACATATTGCAGTCTCAATTTTTGAAGAAAGGAGGCCATGGGATGGTGACTGGGAGTCATACTTACAGGGGTCTGAAAGCAGCAGAACAACTGAGTGAGGAAGGGGTGATTGCGGGCCAGGGACAGGATCCTTTTCTCGGTCATGGTGCACTCCACGTCATCGTCCTGCAGGATCACGTCCTTCTTTAGCACCTTCACAGCATAGAGGTCTCCTGATTCTTTTATTCTTGCAAGCATCACCTATGGCAAAGCAGCAGGAAGGAGCATGAGCAGGAGAACTCCTGCAGCTCTCAGGGTATGGCCTTGTCTGGGGCAGAAGGCAGATGGGAAACAGGCACGTGGATACATTCCTGCACATACAAACAACCTCCATGGAGCAGGCTTCCTTTAACCCAGACAGCTGAAGCTAAGACTCACCTTCCCAAAGCTGCCCTTCCCCAACACTCGGATGAACTCAAAGTTGTCGATCCCAAGTCGGTTGGAGGAATTTACCCCAATGCCATTTCCTTCTTTGGTGCTCTCCTTTCCCTGTCGTCTTAGGGTTGATCTAGAAACAAGCTTCTGCAAAGAAGAGATACAGGGAATCAGAAATCCCAGTGGAACTTGAAGCAGTTACAGATGGAGAAGACTTTACTTGCAGCTTCACCCCTCAATATAGCACATGGGGAGAAATTAATACAGCTTGACATGTGATCAGGTTCTGCCATTCAAAGCTGCTTCAGCATAAACTCCTGATCTGTGCTTACTGTATTTGGGTAAGAATCATTTAAAAATATATCTAAGTCACTGAGTTTCAGTTTGTGCTCAAATGGCAGTATACAGAAACACTGTCTCAGCCTGGTCCACCCGGTTGCTTTCTACAGGTGACCACATTCTAAGAGCGCCATCTGGTGTCCATGTCCTACAAGTAGCAGATTTCACAACTGCTCAGAAAATCAAAATGAGAATAAAGGAAGCAACATTATAATATACATTTTAAATTATAGAAGAGAAATGAAAATTAATGTAAACATTGGAACAATGAGCAAATATATGAAGGATAATATCGAAAATACCTATAATCTCATCAACAAAAAATAAAAACAATATACACACATCTATCTTTATGCTTGATTAATTTTTAAAAAGAATGAAATCATTGTTTCATAACATTAATTTTAAAATTTTTCATGCTATTATCATACTAACATATTATGTTAATTGCATGCTATTAACATATTATCCACAGTTCTAAATGTCCTTCAAGAACATGAGTTTTAAAAAGCTGTCCAATAATCAATTTTATGGATATATTGCAATTGATTCAATAACTCCCCTGATACTGGACATACAGATTATCCCCCGTTTTTCTCTATATAGATAACACTCAGTGATCGTACTTGCACGCAAATCTTCCTATCAGGGTGATAAGGAGTCTGGGCTCTCAAGCAGGCTGCCTGGGTTCAAATCACAGCTCTGCAACCCAACCCTGTGACCGTGGACCAGTCACCCACCTCTCTGTGCTTCAGTTTCCCCTCCTAACAAAGGGGATGTTACAGCAGCTGCCACGTGGATCGTTATGAGGAGTAAATGAATAACTGCACCTAAAGCTCTTAGATCAGTGCCTGGCACATTCAATAAACCTAAGCTGTACTATCATCATTATCAACAAGATCATCATTAGCATCATCTATTCAGATAACTTTCTGAAAAGGGAACTCTTTGAACCAATGATTTAAGTTTGAAGACTTGGGATGCATGGTCAACTTGCCCTCCAGAAAGGTTAACCGCCAATACAGTGAGAGCTCCTAGCTCACCAGATGGAACCAGAGGTGGCTGTGACCTCTTCGGAGAGTTCTCCAGCCCCATCCTGCAGAGGATGCTACCTACAGACATGGCGACGGTGCAGATGTCCATCTTGGGATATTTATAAGACAAGCAGACCAGAAGAGACAAGAGACCAGAAGTCTAACATCTTGGAGCATTTGACCTATTAAAAAAACAGCTAATTTGGGACAACTTCTAAGCAATGTCTGCAATAAATAGCTGGGTAAAGCCTGAAACTGCAAGGACTGTACTTACTCAACTGAGTGAAACAGTGATTGAAGATACAAAATGGATCATTTTTAAAAATCCAATTGTTTTAAAAGTTTCTCCTCATAAATTTTTCAAAGACAGAAAAATTTTACCAGCTTGAATTTCACTTCCTCCACCTAAATCTTTCCCCTGGTTGGGCTGGCCCTAGCCAAAAAACTTCAAGCCAGTGTTTCTCAATCTTTTTTTCCTTTTAACCCATTCTTCTCTTTTGAGAGACTAAAGACGTCTCTCTTTAGTGATGAACTGTCAGATAATAGATAATTTGGGTTTTCTCACTATTAAGTGTCAGAACATTAAAGACACTTGATTCAAATGACATGTGACCTTGCCCATTCCTGGAGGTTGTGCTGCATGGCTCAGCTCATTCCCACGGAGTTTCAGAAGCTCTGGGGCAGGCTGAAAGCCTTAACCTGACAATAATCTTCAGGCACCGCTGTCTGCGAGCGTGCATGCTAAGTCACTTCAGTCATGTCTGACTGTGCAACCCTATGGACTGTAGCCCATTAGACTCCTCTGTCCATGGGATTCTCCAAGCAAGAATATTGGAGTGGGTTGCCATGCCCTCCTCCAGCGGATCTTTCCAACCCAGGGACTGAACCTGCGTCTCTTAACAACTCCTGCATTAGGAGGTGGGTTCTTTAACACCAACACTACCTGGGCTTCCTTGGTAGCTTAGACGGTAAAGAATCCACCTCCCAATGCAGGAGACAATCCCTGTGTCAGGAAGATTCCCCAGAGAAAGGAATGGCAACCCACGCCAGTATTCTTGCCTGGGAAATCCCGTGGACAGAGGTGCCTGGTGTGCTACAGTCCAGGGAGCTGTAAAGAGCTGGACACGACTGAGCCACTTTCACTTTACTTTTCCTCAAATCAAGAAATACAATGTCAGTCCAAGGCCCTGATCTACCAGGTGGGGCCCTCTACCTGGTAGAGGTGGTTAGTGAAAAAAGAAGAAACAGGGTGGTTAGTGATGACATTTTTTGGACAACCAAGCACCTGCCAGTGATTGCACTTCCCTTCCTAAGTATCCAAAGATAGTTGCCAGTTCAGTCTAGAATTTTCCTGAACTAGACATCAAGCTACACATTTTAGAAGCCACAGCCATAGCCGTGGATCTTTCCCCAGCTCTCGGCAGACCCCAACTAGCAAGGCAGCAGTAGGATGCGGCTGAAGCTCTAATGGACCAGGGGAGGGATGGGTCACTCAGGGAAGGGACAAGACAAAACGTACAGAGCAACAGGCCCGCTCCACCCACCCCCCGAGAGCCAAGAGGAAGGAACTCCTGTCTGAGGCTGGACCAGAGATAAATTCACGATCCATAAACAAAACCTTCACACTCTGGATTCCAGGACTGTGGAGCATGCCAGCTCTTCAAGTTCAACGCCTTCAGAGAGGAGGACGCAGAGACCCACGGTTACTGGCCAACTGCACACCCGGGGACCCCACCAAGAGCAGAACCCAGGCCCCTGGATTCCAGGCTTTTCACCAGACCACAATGACAGGAAGCCGATTTACCAAAAAAAAAATCCTTTTTTTGCTTATTGCAATATCTGCACACTCACTATATGTTGTTACATAACTGTATATAGAATCTTATTTGCAGAAGAAAATGCTGTTTAAAAATGCAGTAAATCTGTTTACCGTATTTGCTGAGACTAGGACTTGAATTACGCCACACACGATATGAGGACTCACCACATCTGGGAACGATGTCCAGATTACAATATGTTAAAACAGTAAAGGCTCACCGAGGTTGGAGAAATATTTCCGGGTTGGAGGCCCATTCCCGCCAGAGTCTTGGCCAGCTCCACTGCATTTACCCCACAGTTTGGGGCCACGTTCGCCTGACATCGAATGTGTACGTTCATTTTACATACTGGAGGGAAGAGGAGAAAGGAATCCACATTCAGAGAAGAGCCACGTCAACATGAGATGCAAAACAGGACCGTGATAAACTGAAAGACTGTGACGGGGCAACTGCACAGGCTGAACAATGCCATCTTCTCTTAAAATTCAACCGACACAAATAATGATCCCTGATGGGAGCCTGGTGGGCTGCCGTCTATGGGGGTGGTACAGAGTCGGACACGGCTGAAGAGACTTAGCAGCAGCGGCAGAGTGTAAGTAAATCCCTCACTTTCTCTATTTCTGTTTTGTGCAGAAGCAGAAAGCCTAGCATACTGAAGAATAAGAAATTTCAAATACCTTTTTTTTTTTCACCGCAACTTGATGAAAGACATTCAACTATGTTACATTTTAACCGTCATCACCGATTTCCCAGCATGATTCAACACAGATTAAAATGCTCATCACAGGGACAGCTCAGTCAACTAAGTAACAAGGAAACATGCCAAGTGACTTTATACTCTTCCTTGTACCTCTCCAAAAAAAGTAGGAATCGCAAAGCCATGTGTAGATGGCTATTTAAACAGTGAAATGGTGAGTCTGAGAGAAAAAACCTCTAAGTACAACCTTCTTTCTGAGCACTGTCTTTGGGTGGCCCTCACAGCTCAGAAGGCGGCATCCTGTGTGGCTGTGTTTCTCAGGGCTTGCAGCCTGTGGCTTCATGGGTGACGAAAAGCAATTGTTTTAAAGGTCAAAGTAAGTGGCGGTTGGAAGAGCAGACTGAAGCGAAGCTAAGCTCCTGGCGCACAGGAAGCTGACTTGGGATGATGAAAGGCCTGAGGTTTAATCAGCACAAGGTTCTGATATGGTTTCTTGACCTGGCCCTGCAGAGGGGAGGCAGGAATGAAGCAGCATAATACGTATTTGGGGTGCGTCAGCCCATCTTTGGAAGGATGCACAGATCCAGATTTTGTGGGGGCTGAATTTATGCAATTTAGGGTTGCCTTCTTTGAGGAGAAGAGCTCTCTGGGGCTTCTCTGGTGGCTCAGTAGTTGGGAATCCGCCTGCCAGTGCAGGAGACACTGGTTCGATCCTTGGTCCGGGAAGATCCCACATGCTGTGGGGCAGCTAAGCTGGCGTGCCACAACTGTTGAGTCTGTGCTCTAGAGCCCGGAAGCCACAGCTACTGAAGCCCGCACAGCCTGGAGCCCGTTCTCCCCAACAAGAGAAGCCACCGCAATGAGAAGCCTGTGTATCACAACTACAGAGCAGTCCCTGCTCGCTGCAACTAGAGAAAAGCCCATGTACAGAAACAGAGACCCAGCGCAGGCAAAAACAAATTAAAAAAATCATTTAAAAAGAAAAAGAACACTCCATCAAGTAGAGACCGTGGAAGGTGCCTTGCAAGGGAGGGATTCTGAGGCTTAAGCTTTATTAGCTTCATAGCACATCCTCCTCTCTCAGGAAGGCTGGTACGGAGACATACAAGCCAGTAGTGGCTTTTCTAAAGCACCACATGACCATAAAAGCAAAAATTATAAGAGCCGGAACGCTGTAGTGTGCTACCCTCAGCACCGCCAGGGACAAGAACCATGCAGACGAGCCCCAGCCATGGCTCTGTACAGAGCATACAAGAGCAGAAAGAGACTTTCACCCTAGAAAGGGACACCACCCAGCTAATGATCAAGCAGTGCCTAAAACAAAGCCACACGGGCACTGTCTGCTATTTTGGTCGAAAAAGAATTTATTTCACGTATCTATGAAAAAAGAATCCTTGCGACCCCCATGGACTGTAGCCCTCGGGGCTCCTCTGTCCATGGGGATTCGCCAGCCAAGAATACTGGAATGGGTGGCCATGTCCTCCTCCAGGGGATCTTCCCAGCCCAGGGATGGAACCCAGGTCTCCTGCATTGCAGGTGGATTCTTCACCTTCTAAGCCACCAGGGAAGCCCACACACACAAAAACACATGAACAAATAATCAAATGGGGCTCTGGAGAAACAAAAGAATTGGCCTTTCTTAAAAACAAGGGACTAGCCCCTTTTTGGTAACAGAAGCCGGTTTGGTAAGTCCAGCCAGTGGAAGTTGCCCAGTTTTATTGACATGAACTCTGCCTTCCTCTGGTGACTTAGAATGTGTCTAAGGCTTTAAGCTGAACTTCACATGTATTTCAGCAGGGGACAGTGCATCCCATGACAGCCAGACTGTTATAGAAACACTCAGTGAGAGATGACTCCAGGCCAATAGCCTCTCCACTCCTAACAGGACAGGGATCAGCCCCCACACTTCCCAACCCGTTGCTAAGGCAAAAGCGCAAAACCCAGGCTTCCTTGGGCATAGCTGTTGAAGTGTAAGCCTGCGTGGGGTCAAAGCTGAAGAGTCCTTCATTCCGCCTACCCTCCGATCTCTACCAAGCTCTTGACAAGACACAGGGCAGCTCCAGCTATGCCTCTGGAACTCAATTTCTGCTTATTTCTGGTGAGGGCATCAGACCACCTCTCTTGCCAGTTCTTTACCCATAACCCAACCTTCTCTGCTGACCACCTCACCTCCCACTAGCTTCCATTTCTGACCAGATGCCATTTTTCCCTCTTTCATATACCTACTGAAATACACAATGACTAGCCTGTACTCAGTACCAAACAGAGGATGGCCAGTAGGCTAGCTAACCAGATGGGACATTTAATTTAGCAACTGTGTAAACATGCTGTAGCTGGGAAATCTGTGGATCAAGTGCAGCTCTCTCTACATGCCTGACAAGGGGTACATTCGATCTAGAGTCACAGAGATGTTTGTTTATAAAATATCTAAAACCATGAGTTCTAGGTCAGATTCTGAACTGCAGAATTTGGAAAGCTCGCAGCAAGGCATTCTCACGAGGAAGTGGACACCCCACCCGCCAGCATCTCACTTTTACACTGAAGTCCTTGTCGCATTATACCCCAGAGCAGGGAGCCACAGTGGTCGCAGAAGGTCGGCACCTTGTAGTTGTGGACGCTGAACTTGTGTGGGATGTTGATCCCAAATCTCTGCTCAGCAGTCTGTGAAAAGGAAACAGGAGGATGAGAGCTGTAATGCCACACCTTCCACGAAAACCATAACAGGAGCCCACCAAATTCAAAGCCCACTATAACACCTGAGATGGGTACCTCATTACTGCTAAGCAGCAATGAATTACCCAGGCCTGACAATGCAGATTGTGCACGTGTTCTAGGGAACAAGACCGGACAGAAACATGTGGTACACAAGATTGTTCTCCATCTTGGGGGATTAAAAGAAATTTGAATTTTCATTTTATCTTTTATATTCAAGCTGTATGTCTCTCCCTACCAATCCCCTCACACTTATGTTGATTTCCTAGAACTTGTGAACTTCAGGATTAAACAAGCCTTTTGTAGACTACATACACTTACTATCATCACAGGTTCTTCCAAAAATCGATTATATCATGAGGACAGGGCAGAGAGTGGTACCCAGAGGACATGGAACCACCTAAGGAATTCATTCCAAAGTGACATTCAAGTGGTGATCTTATTCCACCCTTCCAGCCTCTGCCTGTCTTTGCATTTTGGTATCTCAGTGCAAAGATTCTGCTTTCATGTCAGGTACAATCACTTCTTGGATCAGGTGTAATCTCACATACTATTTTCAGCAAATAATTAGATTAGGCATATGCTCTATAGCCTACATCAAATTTAAAGCGATAACAACAGAGCCATGGATAACAAGGAGTGGGTAATATTACTCCTCTTGAAACCTTTCTGGCCTCTTTCTCAAAAGAAAGAACACACGCCTCTATGTGTACTCCATAGCAATCCTGGGTGTACACTGTAATGGACCATCAATTCAGAGCCAGACTCTTCAGTGCACCTGTGAATTTACCACTAACTGTTGGTCATACTTCACCTGCCTTCTACCTTCAGAATTTACACTGTTATACCCACCTCAGCTGGACGCAAAATTGCAAGAGTGAAGTTCAAGAATTTATGTATAAATAAACGTCCTCCTTGAAATTCCTTGAGAGGCTGGAAGGAGCCAACAGTCACTTTGTTTAGGGAGTGCAATTTACAGTTAACATATTTATCACATCAGTTGTATCTTGCAGTATTGATCCTATTTTAAGATATATAGGATGAGAGAGAAGCTAGCTGGCAGAGGGTGGATTCTACATTCAAATACCAGTCATCCAATGCCAAACTCAGGGAACTTCTCACAATTCCAAATCTCTCTTCATATTAGAAGAACTGATCCCTAGAGCTTTTACCCAGCTGATCACTAATGGAATTATCTTAAGGACAGGTTAAGCTAAGCAAGTATAGAAACACAATGCCATAATATAAAAAGGAGAGACATTTCAATTCTGATACCATTGTTGGCTTCAAAGGGTATGGAAGGGAAGTGGGGGGCGCAGCAAAGAGGGACAGAGGGAGAGAAAGAAAGAGAGAGACACAGAGACAGAGAGGGAGAGAAAAGGAAGAAGGGAGGGAGAGAGGAGAGAGAGAATGTGCACACATAAGCATGTGGAGGCATTCAGCAAGCTGCTATCTTACCTTTGAATCCACTTTGTTAATATTGTTTTGGCAAGTGCAGGCTGTAACAATTAGATGATGGCAGCGCTTGTGGACGACACAGGTGCACACTAGGGAATCAAATCCAGCAGTTATACATTTATCAGAGGCTGCAGCCTAGCCAGTTTCAGTAGAGCAATAAGGGCTGCACATGCCAACATGGCCTGATTTAGATGCTGGGCTCACGGGAAGCCTGTGCTCCCGTCCTTCCTATATTCTTTACCCTCACCCTAACTCAGGCCTTTGCTTAAGCTCAAACTATTCATACTCATGTCTGGAACCAATGTCATCATTCCTGGCTTTAATCCTTCCTGAGCCCACCTCCAGAGGAATCATCTCACAGTATGATGCTGGTATCCTCAGCCCCATGATCTAAAGCACTCATTCGTGTCTCACTACCAGTCAGGACAGAGCTGAAGTTTTCCAGGTGAGTTTCAGGCTCTCTCGAGCCCGCCCTCGACTCACTTGTCACATTTCTTCTCTGAAGGTTTTTTGTCCCATTAAGAAACTAGACTAGTTGCTCTTCCTGGAGTAAGTCTTCACCCCTCCTCCACACACTGTCCATGTCGTTCTCAATTCCTAGGATATCTTCCTTTCCTATCACTTGACTAAATCAAATTTATAATAGGACACAACTTTTAATAATGTTTCTTCCATGGAAACTCACTCCCCATGGCTTCCCTTCTAGACTGAATCTCTCTTCCTCCTGTGATCTCCTAAACTTTTAGCTGGCCTCCCCCATTTAAATTGTTCCACATATGGCCTCCAGTGCACTCAGGATTCCCAGCCAGCATGATGACTTGAACAAAGTAGGCATTCATTAAGTATCTGCAGAACGACTCAATCAATTGTTTGAATAGCTAGAACTTTATAAATAACTTTTTCTTCATTTTCATTTAGATAACTGATAGAGTGTAGATAGAGTCCAATTTCCATTAAAAAGCAATGAAGCAATATAAAAATACACATCATTTTTAAGATCTTTCAAGACATATGAAAGTTTCCAGGATTAAATACATAAAGACAGATGACAAGTCAGTAAACAGTACTATAATATAAAACAAATCTAGCTTTCAGCAGATCGAATTCTCAGGAGAACCAAACTGAAAGTGCCCAGGGAGCTAACTGGTCTTTTTATATGAGGGACTCCTTCAAATAGAAAAAATTTATATTCTGAGGCATTTGTGTTTTTCACAGTCGGCTTGGCTACAGATTTATTAATTTTATTGATATTTTCGGAGAACTAGCTTTGGATTTAGTGGATTTTTTTTTAATTGTTTCCCTAATTTAAATTTCACTGTTTCCCACTCTATTTTTATTATTTATTTTCTACCACTCCTTTTAGGCTTAAGTTTCTCTCCTTTCTGAGATGGAAACTTAGATTATTGATTCTAGATCTTTCTTCTTTTGTAATCTATACATTTAATACTATAAATTTTCCTCTCAGCACTGCTTTCACTGCTTCTCACAAACTTTGATAAACTGTATTTTCATTGAGTTTAAAATATTTTTAAATTTCCTTTTAAGTCTTCTTTGACCCATGAGCCATCTAGAATATATTGCTTAATCTCCAAATACTTGGAAGTGTTTGAATTATCTTTGTGTTATTGATTTTCAGTTTAATTACACTGCTGTCTGAGAAGATACATTTTAGGATTTCGATTCTTTTATATTTGTTATGGTTGGTTTTATAGCCTAGAATGTGATCTCTGTTGGTAAATTTTCCTAGGAAACTTATGAAGAATGTGTACTCTGCTGCTCTTAGATGGAGTATTCTATAAATGTCAATTTGATCAAGTTGTGATAATGTTGTTATGGGGTCTCATTTGACCTACAGAGAGTTATTTACCAAAATATTAATGGAATGTACCCTGTTTCTGCTTGGTATAATCACTTAACACAGGAACAAGATTAAATATACTTTCAAAAATGTTTTCTTACCTTGGCATTGATAGCCCTGTTTTCCAAATACACCCCTGGTTCAAGACAATAGAGAAAAAAGTAACCATTAGTCAAACATTTCAGCAACAACTCCTATAACTACAGCACTTAAGGAAAACAAATTTCATCCTCTAGTCCTTTATAAAAAATAAAATTTCAGAGAAGCAGCAGTGATGATGTCCTTTTTGAGTGCTTGTTACCGTGAGACAAAAAGGAAATTGACAAATTAGAATACTCCAAATCATAAAAACAGGTAAGTATTGCCAATTCTCATTCTACCAACCTCTGTGGCAATCCCCCTAGTCCTTAGTGAAAATAAGCCCTTCTCTGTGTGTGACTGAGCCTCAGGCTGAAGTGTCACTCTACCACCTAACTGAGCATTCTCGCTCACATACACATAAAGATGTGCAGAAGGTGAAGAAAGCAGATGCAGATATACATACAGAGATAAACAGGTGAGTCCAGTGGACCTGACTGACCTGAGGCATCTTTCCTCTTCTCTGTGCCCACATCACCCCAGAGTGCACAGGGGAGAAGTACAAGATGCCCATCATGCTCATAGCTCCCATCTCTGTCTCTCCCTAATACAGTCTCTGAGTGACAGTGATACAATTTTCACCCTCATTAATAAAGATCATTTTCCTAAGCCTGTAGGATGTGCTAGGCAATGAGCCGAGCAGCTAACATGTACTATCTCACTTAATCCTCACAAAGGCCATGTGAGGTAGCACACATGATAGGATGACCTAGAGCACAGATCATAAAGTCAGATGGCCTGGATATGTGTTGGGGCAAATTGTTAACTTCTTTGAGCCATTGATTCTTAATGTATAAAAGGCACAATGATAACAGTACTTACTTTATAAGGTCATCATGAAGATAAAAAGAGTTAGTTGATAAAGACTTAGACCAGTGCCTGGCCCTCTAGTGTACATAAAATTTACTATGTAAAAAAAATAAAATAATCATCTCTGTTTTGCAGATGAAGAGACACTGATGGGTTATATAACTTGTCCAGGTTCACATATCTAGTTGGTGATGAGAATGAATGCCAGGGTCTATATGCTTAATCATATATATAAAAAACACATATACCACTATTATAAGTGTGTGTGTAGGGAAGGGGGAGGTAGATGAGAGTTAAAGTTCCTTGGTAGAAAAAATTTAGTTACATTATCAAGCAAATTTCCATTTAGAATGTTAGTTGAGATCACAAGTTCTCACCCAAAATGCCTACTAAACACCTGTAGTAGCCAGGTCATGTAAAGAAGAGAAGTTGAATGGTGTGACATGAAATAAACAGCAATGGACAGTCACTCTTCTGGTTGGGCAAACCCAGGGAGAGGTGTGTCTACAGCTAACTGGAGCATATAAAGAAGAGAAATGGGCTCAAAGTTGCCAGAGATGCTAATTTTTCTCATTTAAAAATAGAATAGGAATCTTTTCTTAAAGGCTATAGGCTTTAGCCTATAACTAACTTTAGGCTAACTTTAGGCTTCATCATATCCACAACCAGTATAGGGCCTTTGGTTTAGACAAGACTTTCTTTTTTTTTTATTTAATTTTTTAATGTGTACAAAGTTAGGGTCATTTCTTTTTTAAAATTTATCTTATTGAAGAATAGTTGATTTATGATGCTACATTAGTTGCTCATGTACAGCAAAGTGATTCATTATACATAGGTTCTTTTTTAGGTTCTTTTCCATTATAGGTTATTAGAAGATATTGAATATAGTTCCTGGTATTATATAGTAGGTCCTTGTTGTTTTTCTATTTTATATATATATGTGTGGATGTCTGTTAATCATGAATCCTTAATTTATCCCTGTCCCCTCCTTCCCCCTTTGATAACCATAAGCTTGTTTTCTATGTCTGTGAGTCTATTTATATTTTGTAACTAAGTTCCTCTGTGTCATTTTTTAGATTCCATGTATAAGTGATATCATATGATATTGGTCTTTCTCTGTCTGACTTCATTCAGTAAATGAAGTTGGTTGAAAGGACACAGAAATAAGACTCACCAATGTTACCTACAAGACACTCACTTCAGATCTAAAGAAACACAGACTGAAAGCCAGGGGATAGAAAAAGGTATTCCATGTGAATGGAAATCAAAAGAAAGCTCAAATAGCAATATTTATAACAGACAAAATAGACTTTAGAATTAACACTGTTACAAGAGCTAAAGAAAGACACTACATAATGATCAAGGATCAATCCAAGAAGATGATACAACAACTGTAAATATACATGCATCCAACATAGGGGCACCTCAATATATAAGGCAAATATTAACAGTCATTAAAGGGAGAAATTGACAGTAACACTATAATATTAGGTGGCTTTAATACATTACTTACAGCAATACACAGATCATCCAGACAGAAAATCAATAAGGAAACACAGGCCTTAAATAACATATTAGACCAGATGGATCTAATTAATATTTATAAAACACATCACCCAAAAGCAGAAGAATACACATCCTTTTCAAAGTGCATATGGAACATTCTACAGGATGCATTCTCCTAGATCACATGCTAGGCCACAAAACAAGCCTCAATAATTTTAGAAAATTGAAATATCAAGCCTCTTTCCAACCACAACACTATGAGATTAGAAATTAACTATAAGAAAAAAACTTCAAAAAACACAAACACGTGGAGGCTAAACAATATGCTACCAAACAACCAATGGGTCACTGAAGAAATAAAAAGGGAAATTAAAAAAAAAAGATACCTAGAGACAAATGGAAATGAAAACATGGCAATCCAAAACCTATGGGATGTGGCAAAAGTAATTCTAAGAGGGAAGTTAATAGTGATACAACCTTGCCTCAGGAAATAAGAAAAAGCTCCATAAACAGCCTAACCTTACACCTAAAACAACTAGAGAAAGAAAAAACAAAGCTCAAAGTTAGTAGAAGGAAAGAAATCACAAAGATCAGAACAGAAACAAGTGAAATAGAAACTAAAAAACAATAGGAAAGATCAATGAAACTAAAACTTAGTTCTTTAAAGAGATAAAGTTGATAAACCTTGAGCTAGACTCATCAAGGATAAAAAGAGAGGGCCCAAATCAATAAAACCAGAAATGAAAAAGAAGTTACAACTGACATTACAGAAATACAAAGGCTCATAAGAGACTACTATATGCAACTATATACCAATAAAATGGACAACCTAGAAGAAATGGAAAAATTCTTAGAAAGGTACAATCTCCCAAGTCTGAACTGGAAGAAACAGAAAATCATAACAGACCAATTACCAGAACTGAAATTGAATCCTTAATAATAATAATTTTAACTCCCAACAAACCAAAGTTCAGGCTCAGATGGCTTCACAAGTGAATTCTACAAAACATTTAGAAAAGAGTTAACACCTATCTTTTTGAAACTCTGCCAAAAAACCACAGAGGAAGGAAGACTTCCAAACTCATTTTATGGGTCCATCATCAACCTAATACCAAAACCAGAGAAAGATATCACAAAAAAAGAAAATTACAGGCCAATACCACTGATAAATATAGATGCAAAAAATCGTCAACAAAATACTAGCAAATTGACTTAAGTAATACTTTAAAAGGATAATAGACTGGACCCTGTTCATGATTTAAAAGACCAGAAACATAAGCTAAGCCTGGATTCTGACTTGCTAAAAGGTATAAAACCCAAAGTAATCACAAAAACCCCACATTAGTTCAGTTCAGTTGCTCAGTCGTGTCCGACTCTTTGTGACCCCATGAATCACAGCACGCCAGGCCTCCCTGTCCATCACCAACTCCTGGAGTTTACTCAAACTCATGTCCATCGAATCAGTGATGCCATCCAGCCATCTTATCCTCTGTCATCCCCTTCTCCTCCTGCCCCCAACCCCTCCCAGCATCAGGGTCTTATCCAATGAGTCAACTCTTCGCATGAGGTAGCCAAAGTATTGGAGTTTCAGCTTCAGCATCAGTCCTTCCAATGAACACCCAGGACTGAGATCTTCGCATCAGGTGGCCAAAGTATTGGAGTTTCAGCTTCAACATCAGTCCTTCCAAAGAACATCCTGGACTGATCTCCTGTAGGATGGACTGGTTGGATTTCCTTGCAGTCCAAGGGACTCTCAAGAGTCTTCTCCAACACCACAGTTCAAAAGCATCAATTTTTCGGTGCTCAGCTTTCTTCACTGTCCAACTCTCACATCCATACATGACCACTGGAAAAACTGTAGCCTTGACTAGACAGACCTCTGTTGGCAAAGTAATGTCTCTGCTTTTTTTTTTAAATTTTTTTTATGTCTCTGCTTTTTAAAATGCTGTCTAGGTTGGTCATAACTTTCCTTCCAAGGAGTAAGTGTCTTTTAATTTCATGGCTGCAATCACCATCCGCAGTGATTTGGGGATAAACCCCACATAATACAAAGCAATTGATCAATATGCAGAAATGAATCAAGTGTTTCTGCCTTAAACAAAATGACTAAGTTCAGTTCAGTTGCTCAGTCGTGTCCAATTCTTTGCGACCCCATGAACTGCAGCACGCCAGGCCTCCCTGTCCATCACCAACTCCCAGAGTTCACCCAAACCCATGTCCATCAAGTCAATGATGTCATCCAACCATCTCATCCTCTGTCGTCCCCTTCTCCTCCTGCCCTCAATCTTTCCCAGCATCAGGGTCTTTTCAGATGAGTCAGATCTTCGCATCAGGTGGCCAAAGTATTGGAGTTTCAGCTTCAACATCAGTCCTTCCAAAGAACATCCTGGACTGATCTCCTGTAGGATGGACTGGTTGGATCTCCTTGCAGTCAAAGGGACTCTCAAGAGTCTTCTGCAACACCACAGTTCAAAAGCATCAATTCTTCTGCGCTCAGCTTTCTTTATAGTCCAACTCTCACATCCATACATGACCACTGGAAAAACCATAGCCTTGACTAGACGGACCTTTGTTGACAAAGTAATGTCTCTGCTTTTCAATATGCTGTCTAGATTGGTCATAACTTTCCTTCCAAATGACTAAAGTTTGCAACAAAAGGAAGATGCAAGAGTGTTTTTCTTCCTTCTGAGAAGGGTGTGTGTCTGCACGTTTTGTGCAAGTGAGGGAGTGTTTCTTCTTTCTCTCTGCAAATAAATGTGCTTAATGTTGCCTCTAATTGAAGACTAAAGGAGGAAATGGAAACCCACTCCAGTATTTTTGCCTGAAGAATCCCATGGACAAAGGAGCCTGGCAGGATACAGTCCATGGGGTCACAAAGAGATGGACACGGCTGAGCAACTTCACCTTCACTTTCTAACTGAAGATAACTACTACTTAAATTTATTTCACATTATAGATTTGCCTCTTAGACTTAAGCTTGAGTGACATATATAATAAGATTATTCCAAATCATCTAGAATTTCTCAACTATTAATTATCTTAATTATTCTTATTATTAAATAATTATTTAATTATTCTTAAAGGCCAGGGATTATAGTATGTGGTCACTGAAAGCTATTACCTTCAGCTACATATAAGGCTGAAGGCCGCTGTATGCTTAGTATAGCTGAAACAATTTCTGTAAGTCATCATGTGATTCATGCCTTCTTAGAGAAATACTGTTGATATTTTTTTCCTCTTCAGGGGCAGACCATTTATTAATTGATTAGCCTCTCTCTCTAATTACTGCTTTTGATCAGTTCATGATTCATTTAACATTTTTACCAAAATGACTAGCGAAAGAAATAACATTTAAAATTTAATCTGTAAATCGTGTAATTTTTTTCTGCTCGTTTGGGGGTTAAAATTTCTAGGTCAACATATTAGAATAAGAGGGAAAAAATCAGATTCTAAAACAATTCTTAATAATCATGTTTTCTGCTGAAATCACATACAACCAAAGGAAGTCTCAGCTCATGGCAGGAGAGACGCCAAGGAGCCTCTTACCAGATAAACTCCCTGCAGTGAGAGCAGTAGGTGGGCTGCCTCAGGTATGTGGCCATGAACTTGTGCCCGTTGATCTGGTGGACTCGCCTTCGCATAGCCCTTTGGCGCTTCCTGGTAAAATGTTTGAAGATTCGGTCTCTCTGGAGAGTAGCTATATATTAAAAGAAGCGGGGGGAAAAAAAGAGTGTAATGAATCTATCTGTACCTAATGTATAAGAAAGTTGGATAGTTCAAATACTTTCCAGATTATTTTTTTTTTCTTTCTTCAAGATGCAAAACAGCCCAAAAAATTGTACCTATGGAACTCTGAGATTCCCACTGCCTGACTATCTTGGACTAGTCTCTCCAGTACAGAGCATGGGTTCCCCAGGGTTCTGATGTCCCAGTATGTGACAGCAACATGGTCTCATGGTACCTGTCCAGCTGTCCAGGACCTTAGATTCACTGACTGGCTGGCAAACAGGACTCCTCATTACTCTCCTTCCATGCTAGAGTCCTCACAAAACTTAGTGACGGAATTGCCCCCTACACAGTGAAAGCCTGCCCCAAAGCATCATTTCCAGCACCATCTCTGTGAATTTGGAATACATAGAAATTAACTGCGAATACACTCAAAATTCCTTTTCTAATCTCACATTTTAAAGAGAGTGGCTCCTAATCTGAAGACTTGAGAACTGTGCACCATTTAAAGATAGTAAATGATCTTTTCCATTTTACTATTCTAGAACGTTCCCAATGTATGCAGAGACTTGTGATTATAAAATAAAGATTCCTTTTTCAATAATGCTTCTAAATAAATCACTGCTCCAAAGGAAATTAGAGGAATCATACAAGAATAATCTGCTAATAAATTTTAAAACCTGGGAAAAAAGTAGATTTCTGTGTAAACATAATGATCAAAATTCACTAAGAATTACATAAAACAATAGTCTAACTCTTTAGAAAAAATTATAAAGATTTTAAAGGACTACCTCTAATTTTGAAGTAGTCATTTTAGGTAGACTTTTCCCAGTAGCAATTATACTCAAATAACCAGAAACAACTGTACTACTTAGCATTACCTTAAAAGAAAAACTCATTGTGACTAAGTAGGAATTTTCTCAGAAGCATAACAATGGGCATATTATTACAAAATCTATTATATCTTATTCTATTAATAGGTAAAAGAATAAGTATGACAGTTTCAGTAGATGTTAAAAAGGCACTTGGTAAAATTTAACTTGTAATCCAATAAAAAATTCTTTTAAAAAGACTAGAAGAGTGTCTTTTTAACATGACTAACACATGATTTCACAAATCAAAAGCTAAATGGTAAGTTTTTAAAAATTCCGGTGACACTTAAGAACAAATAAGACTAATTCTCACCACTATTGTTTAATATTATTCTGAAAGTAATTGCTAAAATTATTAGATATGAAAATTAAAGATCAAACTATCAGGAAAAGGTGCCAAAGATACCATTACTTTAAGTTATTTAATGTATGACTAGAAAACTCAGGAGAATTTAGCCTAATTTATTAAAAAATAAGTACAGTATGATGGACAGTAATAAGTCATTAAAAGCCAAGGTACTTATTATGTCAAAAGAACTGATTAGAATAATCTTAAAAATCCCATTCATATAGCTACAAAAACCAAACTATCTAGGAAATAATTTATCAGAAGTGCAAAATGTATATGAAAAAAGACTATAAAACCAATTGAAGAAGGTGAAAAGATGTGTAAAAATGAAGTTCTTAAATTGGAACACTCAATACTATAAAGTTGCCAATTCTTTCTAAACTAATCTCTAAACTGAACAAAATCACAATCAACATTCCCAAAGGATGTTTTTAAACTCGACAATTTTTTTCAAAGTTTATTTGGTACCATAAATATTTTAAAGCTGTTCAAAAATTTCAGTAAGGGAGGACTTGCTGTACATGTTAAAACATATTATAAAATTACAATAATTTAAACAGTGCTTTACCCCTTCAAGAACCGTCCAAAACTAGAAATCAATTTGGCTGAAAGATAATATGGTTCAAATCAGTGGGAAAGATGGATTTATTCAATAAGCAGTGTACAGACAACTAGGTAGCCTTTTGGAAAATATCTTTACCTCACTTCTTACATGTAAATAATCTAAGATAAACGTGAAGGTGGAAATTACAGAAAGAAAGAAACCACAGGGGGGAAAAAATATTCCTAGAATGGGATAAGGATAGCAAACTTCTACAGCCATAAAATATCCACGGATTTGTAACCTATGAAATTTAAAGTCCTACTGTCAATAAATAAAACAGAGTTGAAACAAACTGGGGATAAAAGGATTTGCAACACATGACAAACTGTTACATTTATAATATGTATAAATCACTTAGAAAAGAAGATAAAAATCTAGTAAAAAGGAGGAGCAGAGGAAGTGAACAGGCAACTCATAAAATTATAAATGCAGACAGACATTAAGCATGCCAAAGATGTCCAATCCTATCCAAGAGAGCCATGTAAGAATCGCGAGGTAAATAGCATTTTACCTCTTAGGTTGGCAAATACTTATAAAGATGGTTAACATGCCCATTCTTACAACCTGGTAGGGAAAGAAGCACCTCCAGCTTCTGCTGGGAGGAGGATAAACTTGTCTCTAGTCCTGGCCCTGCCGTGCTCTGGATGTATTTATCCTGCTAAGCTTCCCTGTTCTCATCTATAAATCAGGTACTATCTTCCTTCTAGGTTTTTTTCCCCCCAGGGACTGAATGAAGTAATGCATTAAAAAGGTTTTGGGTAAAGATAGACACATGGTAGCATTCAACACATGTATCTATTTTGAGAATGATTTCTTTTGATAACCAATTTGACAATACCTGTCAATGTTTTTTTCCAGTTTTATTGAGAAATAACTGACATAACATCACTGTATATGTTTATGGCATATCAGCATGATGGTCTGATTAAATACTGTGAAATGATTACCACAATAGGTTCAACTAACATTCATCTTCTCATAGAGGTATAATAAAAAGAAAGAAAATATTTTCTTCTTGTGATGAGAACTCAGGATTTATTCTCAACTTTCCTATTTACAATACAGAAATGTAAGCTGTAGTCATCATGCTGTTCACATTATATCCCTAGTGATTATTTATCTTATAACCAAAAGTTTAAACCTTTTGACCACCTTCCTGTAATTCCTCTTCCCCTCCAGCCTGCCTGGTAAGCACAAATCTGAGATCTTTTTTTCTGTGAGTTGGTTGTTTTGTTTTTCCGTTTGTTTTTTAGATCATACAGTATTTGTCATTTTCTGTCTGACTTCTTTCACTTAGCATAATGCCTTCAAGGTCTACCCACGTTGATGTAAGTGGTAAGATTTCCTCATTTTTTAAAGCTGAGCAATATTTAATTGTGTGTATATTATCTCAACTTCTGTATTCATTTATCATTGATAGATACTTAGGTTATTTCCATGTCTTGGCTATTGTAAATAATGCTGCTACAGACATGGGGGTGCAGATATCTTTTCAAGTTGGTGTTTTTGTCACCTTGTTCAAGTGTTATGTTCATTTCTTTGCATGTAACAACTTCTAGGATTTTTTTTTCCTATAAAAAATACCAGAAAGCAGGAATGTATATCAATTGTATCTATATAGCATCATATCAATGTATGCTATATTCTTTTTAACAATAAAAATGAAGTTCAGTACAAGAAATCTTAGAGAATGAAATGCAAAAAACATCCAAATAAATTTGGCTAAGACACCAACTCTCCAGAGGCTCTAGTACAGTTAAAATCATACCTACTTGAGTTTTTGTTTTGTAGTGTGTGTGTGTGTGTGTGTGTATGTGTGTGTGTGTGTTTAAGTTCTTTAGTAATCGGCCTAATTACTTTCATCCTCAGGTTTCCCATCTATCCAAAGAAGATGAAAATATACCCCAAGTCCTCAGTCATATGGGGGAAGTATTATATATTATCAGTATTCCTGAGAGGGTCTTATAAATTTGGATAAGGGTCACATGAGAACAGAAATCATTCTACTGCTCTCTTTCACAATAATTCTAGAAGCCATCTAGTAACCACAAAATAAGCAGATTTTAATGTCACTTTGCTGACAGATGATGAAATTTAGCCTAGATGATAACACCCTATATCTGATCTACATTATCACCAACCTAAGACCCAGCTCAGCACTGGCCAAAGTAAAACTTGTACTGAATTACTGAACACATATCACATCTAGATGCAAATTAAATTCTCCCTGGGGAGTCTAATTACCAATAATTTACTTATATAATCCCTTAATACTATAAAGATTGGTTAAAAGGTCAGCTCATTTGCAGTTTTAACATTTCATAAATTGAATTCTTTTTCCCCCCTCAACAGCTATTACCATTGCAGTAATAAGACCTATGAATCTTCTAGGTGATCTTACAGCCAGAAGGACGTAGGAAGAAACTGCATGTAGTTGTTCACCAAGTAAGTCATCCCCCAATGCATTCACTCCTGCCTTTCACCCTTCCTCAAATGTTCTTTCCTCGTTTTTTTCCCCCCCAAATGAGTTAACATAGACTTTCCTGTGTGTCTCAGAGTCTAAGCGGCTGCCCCCAAACCCTGAATCAGGGTGAAATGCTCACCTTGTTTTGATAGCAACCTGGGAGCACACCTCCATCTTTTCCCTTATCCCAGGAAACTAGGGACTGTGTCTCTTTCACCTCCTATCCCAGGTGCCTCACCAGACCTCATACGTGGTCATTTATAACTAAACTTCACTCTTCCTTCCTCTGTATTCGTTTGCACATGTGCCTCTTTCTATTTAAAAAGCAAACACACATTTACCCACATCTTGGAATCTGCAAGAAATTTAAGTCATGTAAGAAAACTGGGGCTGCTGTGGCTTCATACAGCGTTCCCTGTCGCCCTGTCTTGCTGGCTGCCCTGAGCAGAAGAATGAACTCTGGGACTGTACTCTGTTGCTCTGAGTACAGACTGAACCCCCGCTTGAGAGTGCAGGGAGATCTTCCTCATTGTCTGCATGGCCTCCTGTTGATTTAGGACTGAGAAGGGCTTAAAAAGACAATTTAATCCTGCTGTGCTTGAAACCACCCTGGGCCTTGAGAAATCTTTCAGATCATCTGTCAGCTGAGTACGTCAAGCAATCCTAACATGCTTTGCAGCCA